ATATGAAAACTAGGGCTGACACACACAGATACAGACACAAATTACTTACACATGCTGTACACACACTCTTTTAATGTTAAATGAAAACAAACCGAATGAGCAAGCAGCATCCATATCTTTGACCTTGACTTGCTGAGGTATGTATGCACATGTGTTTGACTAGGAGGGGTGTGGAGTGTGTGTGTTTTCAATTGATCTGTTGATGTCACTTGGAGCAGAAAGAGTGGAGCAGCCTCCCGTGGCGTCGGGCAATCGATCAGTGTTCAACCTCTTTTTCAAGAGAAAATAATGCCAAAAAATCTTGTTTCCATGAATGCTCAGTCACTCCCATGATGACTAAAAAAGATGAAGAAATAACAGGCCTATTTTCACCCCCACCTCCCCACTGTTTGTACAGTGTCTGTGGTGCTTAAAAACAAGTGGCGATTAGAGATCTGGTAGGACATTTACATGAAGAGGGGTTGACAGCATGCTTGTTTAATTGGCCTTAAAATCCTGATTGGATTGGCAGTCACTCATCGGCAGCGCTATTGGTCCGTCAACAGGAAGCGAGGGGGAAGGAGACGGGGAGCAAGGGTGCCAATCATCGCCCAACAGCTGCCCTCCTCCGAGACATGGCCTATAAAAACAGCCTAAGATGGAGACACATACACACACAAGCTATAATGTCGATGCATCATCAGGTCATCGTTCTATTCTCGTCTCTGCAGGAGAGGGGGCGCTGAACACCATTGTAACGCAATTATTTGGCTTTGGGAATCAATAGTGGAGAAGATTAAACCTCGCTGCCATGCATGACCAGAGGGAGGGAGTCACAGGTGGCTCTTTCTTCCTCCTTCATTTCCCTTCATCCCTTCCATCTCCTCTAACTCCTGTAAGGTGCCAGTGGGAGTGACAACAAGGCAACAGCTGCCAAACTGCTGATAGAGAGAGACAGAGTGAGAGAGAGGAGGTACCAAGGGATACCGACGAGGGCAAGAGACAAAATAGGAGCAGCTGTGAGTGGCCAAAACAGCTGATCAAGCACTGATAGTTCAACTTCCCACTGTGTAAAAGGAAATCAGAGAGGCCTCCATTCAACAGTAGACATTTTTGATTGACATTGACCATAAACCTATGCAATTGGTTACTGAGCTGAGACCCAGTAAATAACAGGCTTCAGACAACCACAGCCACAGTGGCAAAGACCCGACTTCTAGTAAGTACAATGCAGACTTCTCGTGGTTTAAGCTTAAAAGTCTTCATGGGCAGTATAAGTCTGATGTGTTAACGGAGCTCAAGCCCTAAGTCTTACACAGCACCTGTGGCCTCATTCCTTACTGCTCACATACTGGCTGAATGGCAGACTGACACCATGTTAAGACTAGAGCAATGTCAGTTGGTGTGTGTGTGTGTGTGCTGGTGTCGTGTTTCAGACAAGGTGGGCAGCCACACACAGAACAGGGTACAGACAGTCTGCGAGCTGTTTTGAGCGCTGGCTCCTTATTAAGCCGCTGCTCCGCTGTACATCCAGCCTGACTGACCCCAATATCTCTGCCTCTATGTTAAGCAGCAGTGGATAATTACTATGCTAGCTTCCATTGTATGAGATAATTCAACCAATTAAGACTTTTTTTTCTGATTTGCCTCAAAGCACTTGAATACAATAACGACAGCATGTTAACAAGAGTAGAAAACCTTCTCTCAGATTTCCCTGTCTGGCTAAGAGCTCAAAACTCCCCCCAACCAAAGGTAACACCATCCAGGTGAACCCCCTCTCCTCTTCCTCTCTTCCATTAACCTTTCGTGCCCTCCGTACCCTCGGGACTGATCCTGTTCACAGCTGTGTGTGGATGTCACTCACTTCAGATAGGCGCAGCCCGGGGGCCATTAGCACAGAGGGCTGTCATTTCCAGTGGGAGAGCAGGGCTCAGGCTGTCCTGGTGCTCTGACAGGTCTACTGAGCTCAGGTGAGTGAGACCCTCTCTGCATGCTGATGGACGCGCTGGAGAGCTCCAGGCTCAATAAGGCTTGCTTTTAACGTAACCTGACTGACAGCTATGAACACCTCATCCTCTTACACAGAGAGCTGAGACCTCAGCTCCTCCGGCTATAATGATAATGACACTCGTGCACACACGCACACACACACACACATGCACACATGCACACATGCACAATAAAAATGAGG